TTTGCAGGGTAGTGTAACAACACGGATGAGCCTCGCTCACAATACAAGACAGTGGTTGCAAAAGGCAAAACAAACAAACAAACAAAACCCCCAAAAAAAAACCGTAGAAAGCTTTTTATATGATAAGATAAAGGCTATTAATGTAATAGCCGAACATGATCAGATCAAAGGGGAAGCTGTATGATTATCTGAATAGATGTGTGCAGAGTATCTGAGAATAACATCTGACCTGCTTCATTGCACACACACCCATTCTTAGGGAAAAAGAAGCCTCTTCAGGCAGCAGTTAACCCTGTAACAAATATCATACTTGATGGTGAAGCACAAAAAAACTCTCTAAAATCAGAACCAGTCAAAATTGATCTGCCGTGACACATTATTCTTAGTTACTTGAAGATTTTGGCCAGAGCAATAGAGCAAAGAAATCCAAGCATAGGATGAGTATTCACGAATTAAGCTAACGTTCCAGTAGGAGTTGTCTGGCCACAGACGTTTCTCAGAAGGACGCCTGGCAGAGCTGCAAGGGACTCACGTCAGGTCTTACCTATGAGTCGCCAGATGGAAAAAGTAAAAGCAGATGCTAGGCCACAAATGCAAGTTCTTATAGTTGTGTGTGACGGCCCTGCACCTCCTTAAAGAGAGAGATGGCTTCTACACACTTCCACGTGATAGTAGTTATGACCAGAATGTAAAATCTCCCCCACAGGCTTGTGGGTTTGCACCCTTGGTCCCCAGCGGTTGGCTCTGTTTTGAGAGGCTGTAGAAACTTAACAGTGGTTCTCGACTTCCTAATGTTGTGACCCTTTATTGAAGGATTCCTCAAGTTGTGGTGGCTCCCGCCCCACTACAGCTACAGAATTATTTCATTGCTACTTCATACCTGCAATTTTGCTACAGTTATGGATCCTAATGTAAATAGCCAATATGAGACCTTTGCGGGGGTTGTGACCCCCAGCTTGAGAACCACTGCCTAACAGGTCGTGGCCCTACTGAAGGAAGCAGAAGAGACGAGAGGCTGGTGTTGACTGTTCTCGTCTATCAGTCCCCATCCCAATTCCTTGAGACAAGGTCTCTTACTGAACCTAGAACGTTCTAATTCTCAGCCGGATTGGCAGCCAACAAGCCCTGAGCACACTCATGGCTCCACCTCCCGCGCCCAGCACTGGAGTTATGGGCACACATGGAAACACCTGGAACACTGGAGCTTGTGCTTGCACAGCAAGTGTTTTTCCATGCTGAGTCATCTCTCTAGCCCCACATCTGGAACTTTCTGCCTTGCATGCTGAGCCATCTCTCTAGCCCCACATCTGGAACTTTCTGCCTTGCATGCTGAGCCATCTCTCTAGCCCCACATCTGGAACTTTCTGCCTTGCATGCTGAGCCATCTCTTTAGCCCCACATCTGGAACTTTCTGCCTTGCATGCTGAGCCATCTCTCTAGCCCCACATCTGGAACTTTCTGCCTTGCATGCTGAGCCATTTCTCTAGCCCCACATCTGGAACTTTCTGCCTTGCATGCTGAGCCATCTCTCTAGCCCCACATCTGGAACTTTCTGCCTTGCATGCTGAGCCATCTCTCTAGCCCCACATCTGGAACTTCCCACGTGAGCCTAACATCAGTAGCACAGTCCATTGAGATATATTAATATAGCTGGGTGTGGTTCGATAATTGTGATCCTTTGACTTGGGAGACGGAAACAGGGAGATCACAAGTTTTAGGCCTGCCTGAGCTGGACAGCAGGTTCCTCCCTCAAAAATAAAGAACAATGAAAAGAGTAGAGAGGGGGGTTACTAAGGTAACATTCTGACAGCAGTGTGCATAGGAAAGGCTATTAGTGAATAAATAAATTGGAAAGGAAGAGGATCAAAAGAAGAAAAGAGCAAAGACATCTCCTTTACTACTGGCTAGATATATTTCCAACTTACTATTAAGTAGTATAGCAGCTATCAAAATGTGGTCCAAGAATCCTCAGAGTCCTAAAGCCATTTTCGGTTCTGTAAATCATAAATTATTTTCATAACCATTAGGCATTAATTCCCTTAGGTCTTTCATAGCTCTCATGAGTGTCCAGTGGAGGTTCTCAGAGGCTATGTGAACAACCACTAAAGGAGGGAGTTCTTCCTCTCGCCAGCTTTGCCCTCTGCCCTTTGGACTGCATAAGTAGATGGTACAGGCTGAGCAGTGCTTTCGGCTGCCCAGCACTGCAGGGGACTCACTGGACTGACCAATGGGTAGTGAGAACATGAGAGAAGATCTCTGGCAGCCTGCACCCAGTCACACCACCACTGCTCATTCAGTATTAGTCTCCCCAGAATTTTGGAATCTATGAGGTTTCGCTCAGACCACTGAAAACATCAGCTTCCCATCTGGTTGGCCAGACACTGCCACACATAATAGGACCAGACTGACTTAAAGCATGTACTTAAAGGAATTCGGACATCTGGAGCCCAATTCCAGAAGCACATGGGCCCCAGGAGTCTGTTAGTACTGTTCCCAGAATGGCACTAGAGTCCAAACTGTACTGTCTGTCTTGACTCTAGGCAGCACCAAGAAAGCAGAGAGAGAAGAGACATATGGGTATCAGGTCAAGGAAGGGGCTCAACCAAGCTTCTCTTCTGATGAGGGAACTCACTCCTTTGCACACTTCAAGACAAATGGAAAACATTCGCTTAAGGATCATGGGAAGATACAGAACTATTTCCTGTGCTTCTCCAAGTCCCTCCTAGAGATACAATTTCTCCATATGCTATTGCAGGGATATGAACACCCCTTCCCCCGCAAAACACTTGTGTGTTAAAGGCTAAATCTGTCGAAAATGGATCCAATCATGGAGAAGCTATTGGATCATGAGTACTCTGACCTAATCAATGGATTTGTAGACTACTAAGAAATAAATAAGTGGCCAGCATTATTAGGAAGCGGTTGAAACTTCAAGATGAACTTTAGCTGGGGGAAATATGAAGCATGTCCTTAGGGACTATATCTTGTCCTGGGTCCCTCTGGTTGGCCTCATCCTGATACCTCAAGCGCCACTATTTCTGGCCCCAGATGTTCTACTTATCACGGGTTTAGGAACGATGATCCTAGTAGGCCACAGTCTGGAGCCTTGGGAACTGTGGGCCCAAATGACTCTTTCCTTCTTCGATTTCTCAAATATTTGTCTCATGACAATTCTAACATACCACATGTGATTGCCTACCCATGCTTGTTGGGTTGGTTTGTAAAGTTATATTGACTTTTTACATGAGACTTTCAACAGGCCAGAAAATACTGTGGGAAACAGCAACAGAAGATCAAAGAGCAGGAGACTTTCAGTGAGAAATTAGCTGTTTATAAAATAATGGCCCGTTCTGCTTTCTTCTACTCCCTCCAACATACTCCTCCCCTCTGGTTTATGGACAAACAGCATAGCAGGAAACAACAGTGCCAACGGTCCCCCAAGTCACCTCCTTCTAATGCAGCACCAATGCCCCAGGGAGGTGAAGGAAAGCAAGTCCATCATGACAGCCTTGATCTGGAGGACAGGCTTAAGCTCGCACCCCTACTGAAAACCAGAACCCTCCCAAACTAGTTCTAAGAATACAGAATACTAAAAACTCAAACGTTGTTCTGCTTTTTGTTTGTTTGTTTTGTTTTGTTTTGGGTTTTTGTTTTGTTTTGCTTTGTTTTTTTTGAGGCAGACTCCTGCTGCTTGGCAACAAGATTGGGGCTCAACAAATTCCTAAACAACAAAATAAAACGGGATTGGTTCCCCTGTGGGTGAGACAATAGCACCCGTTTAACACTTACAGTTTTTTAAAAAAGAAAGGGCATGGGGTGTACTCCCAGGACGGGCACGAATTCACTGCTGGTCTGCGTTCTTCTCAGTTGCTGCTGACAAGCTAACAAAGTCACATTTACTCTCCATCCTCCCCACCCCCCAGTTAAAACACCCTCTTTAATCACTATGTGTACGTTTAACTTTTGGAGGCAGAGACTGGACTTCGCTGGAAGAGCAGAGGAAGGCAGGCTGTGAGAATACCAGAAATTCACCAAGTGTACTCAACAGAGGGCAGCTTTTTATATGCAGGTATTTGAAAGTAAAGGACCAAATAAGGCAATTGCTAACACGTGGTGTTTGTGAATGGTGGGTCTTAATTTTTCCCCCTCGCCTGCATTTCCAAGTTGGTTTCATAGAAGGCTTCATTGTAATCCAGGACCATTGTTTTGCATTAATTTCTATGACAAGGAACCCAAAACACAGGGTGCCCGGGAGTAACAAAACAGAGTTGGGGAGACAGTCACAACTTGGCACAAGTGTGACAAGCTGTGAAAAAGGCAATGTTTCAGGACCCGAAGTGGTGTGGCTTTCCTGGAGCAACCGTGTCTCCTGCAGACAGAATCATATTCTTTCCAGGCACATTGGAGACCCAAGTCAAGCTGTGTTTTATTTTTTATTATAATAAACACAGTTCACTGTAACAAAGACATACTAGTGGTGATCAGCTGACAGCCAGAACAGCACCAGGAGCTGGTGGTGAGGGCCCTGGGGGTGGGGAGGGAACTGATAAAAGGCCAGCCGTCTGGAAAGTTCTCTTTAAAGAACTTGAAAAGGCAGTGTTGTCTTCTGAGACTACCACAGAATGCCAAACTATCTCGCTGGGCTCCTTTCTTGTCAGTCACTGCAATTTGTAACTGAAAATGGCAAATCCTTCAAAATCCTGGCCTCTCAGCTTCCATTTTGCTTACAGATTTCCAGAATAAAATGAAAGTACTTTGTACACTGTTTTAAGTGGGCATACTGTTTCTTATCCAGAGTTTACTTCCAGTTTATCATAGCACCATTCAGATTTCCCCCCACATGCCTACTTAAAAGTCTCTACAATTATATGTACACTTAGGAGTTTGATGAAGTAGAAACAAACAGTTCACAGCAAAGTTACAGAAGAAGCAGCTAAAACATTCAGGATAAATTAAAGTCTCGAATTCAGATTCCTTAGAGGGAATATAAATCATCTTACCATATCTTGAACGGCTAATTTTTCACAATCCAACTCATATCTCAATCTGTCTCTACTGTCCATTAACTGTAAGAGAGAAAAATATGGCATTTTGATTAAAGATAAGAATACACACCTAAAATGCTTTCCTCAGGAGAGCGTGGTAACAACACATTTTAATAAGGGAGAAAAATGGATCACAATATGACCAAAGAGAAAATTAATTTCCTACAGATTATTATGCTTTGATAATATTATTATATAAAAAATAATAGCCAAAACAATGCCAGTGTACTTAGAACTTGCCTTGCCACCTCAAATATGACCTCACCATGCATCCCAGTGAGTCAGTCTAGTTCCCATAACAACTTTGCTTAACTTTCCGCATGTTACATTCTCTTGCTTCAGATCTTTGTGCTATATTTATTTGCATATCAAATTATATTCATATTGACTGAAAATACCCCTTAGAACCACACATTTTATCTCTGTCCCTATGCAGTTTTTTTCTTGTTTCTGTTTTTGGTTTTGTTTTTTGTTGTTTTTTGTTTGTTTTTATTGGTAAAATTCAAACCTTAATTTAGACCTTTGCTCAGCTCAATCAATTAATTGTATTTACTAATCTGATAAACATCTCTAGAGTCACAGTTCAAGACTGTGTTGTCTCTTGTTTATTTAAGTCACCCATTAACTCCAACCTGGCTCAGATCCCCCTCCTCTTCCAATTTATCTTTTTGTTTGTTTGTTTGTTTTTGTTTTGGTTTTTTTGAGACAGGGTTTCTCTGTAGCTTTGGTGCCAGACCTGGACCTAGCTCTACCAGGCTGGCCTTGAACTCACAGAGATCCGCCTGCCTCTGCCTCCTGAGTGCTGGGATTAAAGGCGCACAACACCACTGCCCGGTTTTACTCACCTAGATGAGACACAAGTCTGAGCCTAGCACAGTGCCCAGGTTTCTCCAAGGCCGCAGAAGGCATCCAACCCCTTGGCATGAGTGACCCTTTCCACTGAGTCTGAGGTTTGCCACCCTCCCTCTCATGTACCGCCCCGCTCCAGATAGTGAAACTACACACCTTGCCCTTTAAAAGATGGCTTCTGATGACCCTTAGGATTCCCTTCCGGACTCTCATTTTCTTTCTGCCTAGCTCTGTCTGGCTTCTGGGAGGCAGTTCAGTGTCTTGTCTTCAGCCAGCTTTGATCTAACCCAAGCTGGGCAACCTCCTACAGCTTCCCCAGCTTGCTGAGCACCACACTTGTACTGTACCCTCTGCCTCCTTCGCTGCCACCTACTAGAGTGGCAGTTTCAAAAAGGAACTGAGGTGGCAGCAGATGGAGAACAGGCTTAGGGTCTCTTTTGTTAGATCCCTGGAATCAAAGCACAAATGCTACTGAATTCTATACTGCAGGGTCGTTATCCCGGACCGAAGGTCAGAGTCACACCTGCTTTCAGCTTTCTTATTAATTCTACTGATTAAAGAAGGGAACCTATGTCTTAGCTGATACTCTTTGAGTTTCCTTTTCCCATTCCTTCTTGTTCTGTCTGTCTCTTCCCCATGCTCCCTCTAGTTTCCCTCTTTGTGCTCTACAACAGATTCTCACTTTGTCGTCTCAACAAGTCCCTCATACAGCCATGTCACATGTCAGACAGTCCTGGAATACACTTCACACCACTCAGCAACACTCACACTTGGACGCCAGCTTCTATGCCCTCTTGTTTTCTGGGCAGCCCTCCCAAGAGGACCAGGAGAAGAAAGAGCATGGGAATGTCTGGGAAGATTTTCTAGAACCCTCCAGATGGAGCCAAATTCTCTTCTCCATGTGTTACCCTGCTCTGTGATCTTGGTCTGTGACTTCACAGCAGGCACAGTGTGTGTGTGTGTGTGTGTGTGTGTGTGTGTGTGTGTGTGTGCATGCGTATGTATGTACATACATACATATCCACACATTTAAACTTTTTCTGACAGTAGTGCAGTGTGTGACATTCAAAAACACCTAATAAACACCACTGAACTAATTTACTAAAGGGTATTAGGAACAAACTTCAAAGATCTGTTCTTCTTGTTCAACAAGGTCTGACCTGCTTCCAGATGGCAAACCACTTCCACACACAGTATTATCTCTACTACATACATTGTAAACCTGGGAGAAAGAAGAGGGGGTGGCAAGAACTAGTCCACAGGGTGACTCAGAAATAAAACAGGAACCTAGGAGTCTAGATTCTTTCTTCCCAATAAGTGAGTCTATATTTTGCATCTGTATTAAGTTCCAGTAATTTGGACAAAAAACAAGAGAAACACAGGACTTTCCGAGGATGAGTGTGTAGTGGCTTTTCATTTATATTTTTAATAAATAAAGCTTGCTTGAGAATCAGAAAAGTCAAACAGTCACACTGGCCAGCCTTACAGACCAGGCAGCAATGGCACACACCTTTAATCCCAGTAGCCACACTAGTTTACCATAGAAACCAGGTGATAGTGGTGCATGCTCTTAATCCCAGAACTAGAGAGGAATACAACATAGGAGGAGACAGCTCTCAGGCTCACTCTCATTTCTGAGGTTTCGTGGAGGCAAGATCACCATTTTCTGACCGAGGCTGAGATAAGAGCCGGTGGCTGGTTGCTTCGCTTTTCTGGTCTTCAGGCTGTACCTCAATATCTGTCTCTGAGCTTTAATTTTTTGTTTTTTGTTTTGCTTTTACTTTCGTTTTCTGAGACAGGGCTTCTCTGTGGCTTTAGGGTCTGTCCTGGAGCTAGCTCTTGTAGGCTAGGCTGGCCTCAAGCTCACAGAGATTGACCTGCCTCTTCCTCCCCACCTCCCACGAGTACTGGGATTAAAGGCATGTGCTACCACCACCTGACTCTGAGCTTTTATTAATCGTACTTCATCAATAAGCTGAAAGAGATCTGCTATACTACAGCAGATTATACTGAAAGGTCCAAAAGCCTTTCATAGGGGGCTGCAGATCAGATCCATATAATTCATAACAGTAGCAAAATTACAGTTACGGAGTAACAATAAGAATAATTTTATGGTTAGTGTCATCACAACATGAGGAACTGTATTAAAGGGTCACATCATTAAGAGGAAAGCTAAGAACCACCGTGCTATAGTTATCCAAAATAGAGCTGGCAAACAGAAATACATTGTGAGTCATATACTTAAATTCATTTCATAGTAGCCTTGTTAAAAGGTAAAACATAACACTAAAACTACATTTTTATCTGTCCCTAAAAAATACTCCAAATATCAATAAATATTAGAATTATAAGGGAAATATCTCAAATTTTATATATAAATTAAAAAACCCGCATGTATATATATCATTTTCAATTATAGAGAAAATTGGAGAGCTAAATTCTTATCCATATAGATTTCAGAAAACTTACAAATAAGAAGGCAGATTCATTATCTAAATTTTTGAAAACATGAAGGTTTTTTCCATTCGTTGAAACAAGTATTGAATTTTTTTCATTTAAAGTTAAAATTGTTCAGAATAAATCTCCTCAGTTGCATTGGCCATGTTGCAAATGTCCAGTGGTCACATGTGGCTGGGAGAAAGAAAGTCCTGGGCAGCACAAATCTAGAAGCTGGGGCAGCCTGTGACTGAGCGATGTCAGTTCACACTGGGCGTGGTTTGCGTCCTTGACCACTTACAGGGGACATTTTTGGTTTTAACCACATCTTGTTTTCCACATAGAGTAAGACACCTCTGTAATTCTTTCTCCCCAGAGGCAGAGGAGATGAGTGGTTTGGGAGCTTTAAATGAACAGATTGAGTAAAAGCAGAATCCGGATAGTTCACTTTTACAGGAACAGAACCAATCCTGAGACTCTCGGACTGTCCCCCCCCCCCCCCACCGACGCCATTCCTACTCTGTAACAGTGAGGCTTATAGTGCTGCTGAAGGAGACCAGGTGACACCTGAGAAAATGAAATCATTTCATGGAAACCTGTCTAGCGGAGGAAACCATGGCCTGACTCTGACCTATCAGCGTTAACTACGGTTCTTGGAACTAGCTTTATCTAAACTCCAGGAATATCCTACACTACGAAATCAGACCTGGTTGGAAGCTGACCCTAAACTACTTGAGTCTGTGTGGTTACCATGCTCTTGAAATGTGATTTGTGTAATTGAAGAGCAAAGGTTTTGTGTGTGTGTGTGTGTGTGTGTGTGTGTGTGTGTGTGTGTACTCTCTTTCATTATTTTTAAATATTTATATTTATATGTATGGTTGTGTTGCTTGCACGTATGTCTGTGTCCAAGTGCGTGCTCTGTACATAGAGGATCAGATTCCATGAAATTGAGTTATAACTGGTTGGTTGGGTTCTGGGAACAGAACCCAGGTCTCTGGAAGAACAGTCATGCCACTAACCTCTGAGCCTTCTCTCCAGCCCCAAGATCCATACTTTCAATTTAACTTAAAATTGATAGTTGGCTGGGTTACTGGAAAATACATACATTTCTTGGAATAACCTGGGGATGTGGGTCTGCCTTTCCATCTGTAAATTTTATGAACTCCAAATGCTTCTTCATTCTAGGTATCTCTAGACGAGTGTATTTCAGAATTTTGAGCACGGTCCTCAGCACAGATGAGATAGTGTGCTGTCTGCACTGGGGATCACAGTACAGGGGAGATGCACAGGGGAGGAGCATTGCTCAGGAGACTTTAAGCTGGGCAGCTCACCGGTGGGGGCTGGGGGAGGAGCTACTGCTGTGGCGCTGTGCATCAGGTGTACCGGGGATTCTTGGCTCTCATGATACCCATATTGGCCGAGCAGAATAAGCCAATTCATCCTCACTCAAGAAAAGAGCAACAACCAACATGTGGACTGAAAACAAGATGTGGCAATGTAGTCTCACTTTTAGTGATTGGTGCTCACAAGCAAAGGTTGGAAACCCTCCATATACATGATTTTCAATACTCCAAAGAGTTTTCAGTCAGAATTTTTATTTATTACTAGGCACTTTATTCCAGATAAGGAAATACGTGGTTAAAATGACATAATGGGGAAAGGTTTAAGTCAACTTTCTCTACATTTGAGGATACCCCGGACATGATGTCATTTCACCAATGGTGCTGATATTTCAATTTAAAAAGAGTCATTTATCAATGTAAAAGATGTTCGTACCTTTTGAATAGTTCGCTGATCCTGGTCTGCAATCTCTTTCAGACATATAATTTCATCCTCTGTAAACAAAAGGAGAGAGAGGCCGACCATGAAATTACACACGTATGCCCCTGTATTCAAAGCGCCTGCTTTGGGGCAGGCTGCGGAGGCACCGGCAGGCGTGGTGTTCACGAGTCCTAGCAGGACTGTGACCTTCACAAATGCCCTTGACATTCACAGCCCTCTCCCTGCTGTTAGGTTGGCCAGTCAGATCGGGAGTAAGAAGTAAGTGTGGCTGAGGGCTGGATGCCTTTCATCAGGATAGCAGTGCGCATTCTTTGCTGTTAGTTCCAGCCAATACAAACTGCTTTAGCAGGTGGCTTTTTATGATTTGCCAAGAAAGACCACAGCCCGAGAAAGCATCATCACAGCACATCAGAGGAGAAACGGCGTCACAGTGGCACCACGTCATCCTGTACCACAGGGACACCGTGACACGGCTCATCTCACCAGTGCTCACACCCGTGTCCTTAGTCTTTGCCCTGCTTTCACACTGTAGATTACCAGAGCATCATACGAAAAACCACAAATATAATGGCTGCAGTCACATTTGAAAGGCACTTTACAGCAGTGTACTTCTGGTGACAAAAATGTAACTTTTATTGATGCTTATTGTCTATACCAAAGGGAATCTAAAGCGCCCAAGGAAAATTTGCGTTTATAATTGGGATCAAAAATTGAGTGCGAGTCCTAGCATTTTGTTCGGAGAGGCTGAGCTTGCGTCTCCACAAGTATACCCCAACGTGCTCCCTTATGTATGCTATAGTGAAGGAAAATGCGCACATGTCTGTTTACAGCACTTCTGAGCGAAGCAGAACAAACTGATTAGCACTTTTTTTTTCTGCTAAGGCTGATGTGTATTTTTGTTTGTTTTGTTTTTTTTGAAACAAACACTCTGAGTTCATTCACATGGCACGGCTCAGTCGCACAAACACAGATAGGTCCTGTGCTCCAAGCAAGGGAAGCTATCTTAAGAAAAACAAAGACAACTATCATACTGCTGTCTTCTAGGTGTGAGTAACTAAACACACGTAAGAGGAAAAGCCAAACATAACAGTTTGTGACATGTCGCATTCTTCATGGAGGCATCGGAAGGGTTACCTAATATCGAGTTTTCTTTCAGGCTCATCTGCGCCTCCTCTTCCAGCATTGCAATCACCTGCAGCAGCCTCTCGTTCTCCGTCTTGCATTCCATAAGTTCTTTTTCTGCAGTCAGCCTTGGAGAGCTGTCCTCCTTGCCTAAATTGTTCTGCAAAGACAGGGAATTCCATATTTCTACGCAGGGAACCAAGGGTTTAAATATGCAACTCTAGGACAATGCGGATACAGAGCCTCTATCATATAATTTTCTGAATTCTATTACACACTTACAATATGAATAGCAAAAAGGAAGGGGACTAAATAGAACGGGCTGGAAGAAAGGCCTCAGTACATTCTGTACAAAGACCCCAGCACATGGGGACATTTTATTGACAGGAATTATGCATATCATACTGTTTGTGTGCCCTCATCATTCAGGTCAATTCATTATGGAGGCTGTGTCCAGGGAGGCAGCTGGGGCCCCTCCACCCACACTGCTCTCTCAGTATCTCAAGCGTTATGCCCTGTAACTAGGCAGGCTGGGGAGACCATGGATGGGCAGCGCCAGGGGGTGGCAAAGTGCAAGCCTAAGGAGGGGGCTTGTTGCTTTGTGGCATTTCCCAGTGTCAGCGCTGCTAGTGTCATGAGGAGCCCATCACATGTCAAAGGGGTGACGTGTGCAGGCTGGGAGCCGCACGGAGCCCATCAGGCGCACAGATATCCACACAGTTGGTTTTCTTCTGGGTGGAGGAGCCACCCAGAGGCAATTCATATTCTGAACATTAACGTGGCTTTGCATGCCTGTCACAGGGGCTGTGCAGGCAGTTAATGCTATTGAAGACTAGGGTTTAAATCTCTATGCAAAGTGATTACCTTGTAAGAAGGTTTCAGGATAACTCACAACAAAAGACTTTAAAGTTATAGTTTTAGCAAAGCAAACTCATTTACATTTTTATTATGTGTGTCTTTTGTTTAAATCTTGCCATGTCCATTATGACAGAGGCTTTTCCCTATGCAATGGAAGTTTATTTGGGGAGGCTACCCTTTTTTTTTCCTTCTTCCTCTTGTCTGTTTCAAAGCTATTGAAAACATTTGAATATACTCGCCTATGGTTGTCTACGTTTTATGGACACACTTTAAAAAATTAAGATGTCATGGATCATGGAGGCTGGTGCAGAATTTTATATTCCATTACGGATCATGCAATTTAAAAATAACGGTTGTATTATTATGCTAAGATAGAAAAACAATTCTACATATCTTGCTTTGAAATTCCCATGGACTTGAAAATACTTTTGAGCTTCAAAGTAATCTTAGCTGAATTATGAGTCGTTCCTTTTACAGTAATTCCATGATTGTAGATAAATAAGAATAAATAGACACTCAAAAACAAAGTGATATTTCCAATGCATCGATTTTCTTCTAGGACTGTACTCTGACTTAGCTTTAGAGAAACCAGAAAGTAAATTATTAAAACATTTCTCCCTGTGATCATAATTTTTTAAAAGAAAAACAAGCATTGAAATATTTTGTAGTACATTAACAAACCCTTTTAAATTAGTGACTTACTAATAGAATTGTAATCATATACATTGGACTTAATAACATTTGAATATGCTGTTGAGTTTTATACCAAGCTTGGGTATACAAATTACAAATCTTTGTGCTTTTGAACCTTTACTGTATTTAGGCAATCCCAGCATAATAATAACTAATTTTATTTATTGTCATTGGAACAGGCTAGTATTCTATAGCCCAGCCTGGCTATCCCACTGAGATTTATTTAGTTCCTTATGTACTGATTTATGTGTATGAGTATTTTGCCTGCATGTATGTCTGTGCCATGTCTACCTGGTGCTATTGGAGGTCAGAAGAAGATGTTGGATCCCTGAAACTGGAGTTATAGACAGTTGTAGGCTTCCATGTGGGTGCTGGGCATTGAATGCAGTCCTCAGGAAGAGTAACCAGTGCTCTTAACCACTGAGGCATCCCTTAAGCCCTTGCTCTTGAATTCTTTACCCTTCTAGCTAGACAACCATAGTGCTCAGATCCTAACATGCGGAACGGAAGGAGCTAACTGATCTAATGAACGGTTAAGAAACAGCATGGTTTTCTCAAAAAAAAAAAAAAAAAGAGAGGATCAGTATTTCTACGTCTCACATCGTTAAAGTTAAGACAATTACAGAATGTGTTTATGGTCTAAAGGATTATATATATACACACACATACATATATATGCTGTATATGTCGAACAACACCAGCTTGGATCTATTTAAGCGTGTATTTGACATGACAGCTGGCAATTCAAGGCCATCCATAGAGGGTTACATGGATGTCTGTTATTGTCCATAACCTAAGAACTATTTGAGCAAATCAGATGAAGATTAAAGTAAGAGCAGCTCCCAGCTAATATGTTTTCTGAGCCTCTGTGTGGGAAAGCAAGATTCAAGGAAAACCCACTAAAGTGAGGCACTCTTCCTCAGTGAAGCCATCTGCAGCCCTGGTTCTCCAGAGGTGAGTCTTTAGCTCTGTCCCCACCATCTGTCAGCTGTAGGAACTGCAAGTAATTATCTATTCAGACACCCAGGGAAACGAGGACACTTCATTAGCAAAGGGAACAAAGCCTTAGTCCTGGCTGCTGCCTTCCTCTCTCACACTCAAGTGGCAAGTTTTGTGATGATGTTCTTTCTGCCATCTGCCCCACATTGCTAGCTCTGGCTTGCTTAAACCATGAATTTCCTTAAAAATAAACTGCATTCATAAAACAAGGTTGAGGAAGACACAGATCATTAAAGGAGAGTTAGCTGGTTCCTTATAGGTTCAGCCAAGATCGCATCATCCACAATCATCTTGGAATTTGACATTCATGAAGGTACTTTCCCTTCTCTTGTTTTTCTTTCATTTTATGAAAATGAGGCCTTTAATTGGTGGGATAAATGCAATTTCTCTTGTGAATATGCATAAGGTTCACAGTTTGTCTGATTTCAGGTCTCAGAACTCCAAGCTGATTCGAAAAAGAAGTGCTTCCCAGAGCAGGACCATGCAGAACCTTCGTTCTCTTGATGGGCTCTTGCCTGAGAGCCTAGGCATCATGTGTGAACATGCTGGAGAGGTGGCGTCTCAGGTTCCAGCCCAGACCTCCTGTGCTGGTCTGTATCTGAGCCATCTCTGCAGGTAATGCATACGAGCCAGGGTCTGAGAAATTCCTGTCTCGGAGCTCTCAGCAGTTCTCTTCTGTGACGTTAGCATCTCAATTCTCCAGACTCCACGGATGGCACTCGGACATCTCAATCTGTGGATGGTGGGAGTGGAGGGGAGCAGGGCTGTGATGTGTGCTCTTGCTTCGTGACAGCCACACAGAAGAGCAGGTGCTTCCCAAATGAGTGACAGCCAGGAAAGTGGCACCCTAGGACAGCGCAGCCCTGCAGAGTGGCCATCCTTGAATGACAGCTCCGTCCCAGTGCTGTTAGCAACAAGCAGATTTGTTCATCAGTGGAGGGTGGGTGATGATGGCTGCACAGCTTGGCCACGTTGGGGTAAGAAGAAAAAATGAAAAGCCCGTACAGTACAAGGACTCCAGCTGAAACTAAAGTCGGTATGTGCTGTGCACAGGCAGGCGTGAGTGCACACACAGGCACACAGACATACTGCAATGGGGTAGCTTTCTTTACACTTCTCAGGGAGGTTGCTCAACAGACAGCACAGCAAACTAGAACACACAAATCTGCAGATAAGCCACACTGATTTCCCACAGAATAAAAACTAGAATGACGTTCTTCTCAGGAAAACTGAGATCAAGGATGTCGTTGGAAACCCAGGTTTCTGTAACTTGAAAATCCCTTTCTGCCTTCCATGGCTGCACAGGAAATTTAGGCTCCTTGTTTACTGAACTTGGCCTTCTCCAGCCAATCTCATCAAACTCCTCCCAGAACCAAGCCAGGAGAGACAGCATGACTGTTTATTAACATAAATAAGTTACTGATGTGATTTGATTATTAGAAGAATCAATCAAGTGTTAAATAGACTAGGCAAAGCTAGTTTATTTCACATGTTTTCAAAAATACTCCTCGAGATGTCCCCTGAATAATCATTCACTAGTAATGTTTGTACGGGTAAATGGCGAGGACGGGCAGAAGTGCCACAGTATTGGTGTGGAGAGCAGACGGCAACATTGTGGAGTCGTGTCTCTCACCTTTAAGCTTGAGGGATGGAACTGAGGCCCTCAGATTTGTGCTACAGGCATTTCACCTGCTGAACCATTTGCTGACCCTCCCCTTGGCATCCTAAGGCTTTCTCTACATTCTGTGCTCCAAATGCAGTTACAGGTTAGCATTGAACAATGTCTCAGAGGATTTCTGAGCCACCAGAGGGGGCAGCTATCCATGATGAAACTTTAAATAGAAACGCAGTCAAAAGCTACAATTGAGCATTACACAGCAAGAGTCTTAGGGAAGTCTTTCTAGGGAATTTAGTAATATGTTTTTCACCAGCTGCCTGTTATCCAACTTCTCTGAAATACACACTACAATTCTGAAATCTGAAACCCTTCCAGCTGTAGGTAATTTTGGACAAGGGAGACTCAACCTGGATTGGTGGCCAATGTGTGTGTGTGTGTGTGTGTGTGTGTGTGTGTAGAAGTCAGAAACAACGGATCCCCTGGACTGGAGTTACAAGTGGTTGTGAATGGCCCAACATGGGTACTAGGCACAGAACATGGGTCCTCTGGAAGAGCAAACAGAACTCTTAACCCCTATCCCTTCAGGACCCCAAAGTGTCTATCAAAACACTCATTGTTAGTAACGTTTATAATGAATATTGCTAAATTGTGTTAGAATTCTTGATTCTCAGCTAGCAAGATCCTTCTGCTCAATTCCAGAGTAAGGGGCTCTTTATCTTTCCCACACCCCATAATTTCTCCTGTCTTTCCATCCCACCTCAATTCTGTTCAATCCCAGTTGGCTTGTTGGAAGTGCTGACTTGGGAAGATTGACTTTGTTCCTTTTCAGTCATCTTGATGACAAAGAGGTTGGAAGTCTTAGGAGTTGCAATAAAATTTCACAGTGTTATTCTCCAGAACAGGATTTTTCTTGGCACCGGTAAGTGGGCACTTTCATTTCCATTATCAATTAAAACTTGAAGACAATTATAGTGTTCCTCTTTATAATTACTACAGATTTTCTAGAATGTGCCATAGAGTAGTAAAGTTCTGGACTAGCTTAGATTGTAGAGTGAGTGCCAAGATGCACCGAATCAAACCCTTTCATCTTTCTGTTTGAGTGGATATGTGTGTGCACACGTGTTTACATCCTTATGGACGGGTGTGTGTTTGTGTGCCTGCACACCTGTGTTGTAGACGCGGAAACCAAAAGATGGGCGTCAGTGGTCTTCCTCTTTTACTCTTTACCTTATTTGGGGGGACAGAAACTCTCACCGAGCCTGGAGGCCACTGGTTTATCTAGACAGGGTGTCCAGTAAGCCCTAAGGGTTCTCTTGCCTCAGCCCCTGCCCACAATGCCATGGTTCTAGGTACATGCCACCATGCCTGGCTTTCCTGTGGGTGCTGGAGCTGAACCAGAACCTCATGCTTGCAGTTCGGCCATCGCCTCAGTCCAGTTCTCATTCTTTTTTAACCCAGAATTATTGCTATCTGCAATCCTATTTACATCCATTACTATTAACTATAATTTATTATAAAAATGAATTAAATTACAACCTTTTGAATTCTACTCACTTCATATTGTTCTAGTTCATTTCTTAAGCCCTTAAGAATTTCTTCTTCCTCTTTCAGCTTTTTTGTTAGAACGTTCATTTTGATGTCTGCTGCATCTTGCAGGGCAGCCTTTTCTTCTTCTATCTCAAAGAATTTCTGGAAGGCAGAGAGGAACAGTAAAAATTTGATCAGAAATTGTTTTATTTTAATTTGGTATCTTGTAGACTTATTTTATTTTTTATAACATTCTTACATTTCTTTGAAAATAATTCTAAATTAAAGTACACATTATCTGATAAAACACAAAGCATGGTACATTGTTCTGATTTTATCTGCCATGTAAGGGTGAAGAAGAGGAAGAAGACTGATTAGGTGGCTTCCCACAGAATAGACATTTTCCACAGGCGTCTCTCCCACAGCCACCAGACTTTGGTAGCCATTTGTCAAGACAAGTGCCTACTTGGCTGGAGGGGTGCACAAGTCTGGTTGACCCCAAAGAGAACTGATTCGGGAGGGTGGGTCGATACCAAGTGGTAGGCTCAATAATGACAGTTCTCACAACAGTCATGAGCAGACTCATTGCACTGTGAACTCAGTCACAAACTTCTGGGTTTGGTCCCACCACTAACATAAGTTGCTAAGAAATCTAGGAGGAAGCAAGCCCGCCCACATTTCTGGTAGGTAACAGGTCCACTGGCCTGTGATGCTTACTGACCCTCAACTTGAAATCCATCTAATGCCTGTCTCAGCTGTGACTTGAGAGCAGTCTCACCGTCCCAGGACCTGAGGAGCAATCATGCTACTCCAGGCCCTTGAGTCATTGCTGTTAGCCACACGGCAAATCCTGAAACACCCTGGAACAACCCTGGTCGTCATTCAACAGTGGCAGTCCACTAAGACACTGTTGGGGAAGTATGTACCTTCGTGCCTTCAGAGGAAGGTCTACCGATTCATATCACATTGCAGGACTAACCCTGCACGCCAGTCCATCTCACCCAGCACAGAAACAGCCCTGTCCATCCGGAGACCCATCGGGAGACATACTCACACAGGCGTCCTAAAGTAAGCCTGCAAGCATTAGTTCAGTTTCCTATTCCGGGGGCGTCCCATAACCTAGCTTCAGCCCCACAAAAGCACGATCCAGGGGTACCTCTGAATCCCCAGCGTCTAGCAGAACACAAGTTCATCACTGTCCCTGGTACATGTCTGGAGTGTTCGAACAAAACTATTAAAAGTAACTATAGCTACAATAAGTAGTTAATGAATAAATAATTTTAAAAGATGTAAAGTGTGACATCAATAGCATAAAATATTGGATGAATGAAAATATTAAAGTGTTCAGGGTTGTATGCCATTGAAATGAAGTGACTATTCGCTTAAAACTATCCCTTCCTCCTTCCCTGTCTCCTTCCCTCAGCTTTTTGACACAGAGTTTTCTACATAACACCTGTTGGCCTAGAACTCATGGTCTCCCTACCCCAGCTTATGGATGCTGGCATGGCCACCATGCCTGGAAATGGGTTCTTTTAACTACGAGGTATCTTATTCACGCTTCTTGTCAACCACAGGTGAAATTTTTTAAAAAAATCTTCTGGTAGGTACACAAAGACAACAAGAAAACAAAGCAAAGCATAGGACTTCAAAGAAGGCAACAAATCGGAAGCGATAAGAAAGGGGAAGGGGAGCAAAAGAAGCACAAACTGGGACAACCGGCAGAACGGCCAGAGCAAGCTCTTCCCTTCGGCAGTGACTGCAGCTGGGAGTGAATGGAAGTCTCCAGTCAAAGGTAGAGCCCTGGGGGAATGAAAGAGAAACAACGGGCAACAATGTACTTCCTGTAAAGACCCACTTTAGCCTGAAGGACACACATGGCCTGAAACCCTAAGGTAGCACAAGGTTCTCCCCATAACTAACCTAAAGAGAAGGAGGACAACTGCGCTAATATCCAACAAAACAAATTTGGGTCCAGTTGGTTTCACAAGAGACAGAGGTCACTGCATAATAATGAATCAATTTATGTAAAGGATGTAACATCATAAACGTTTAAGCACTCAGCTTTGGAAAACTGAAATATATAAGATAGATATTAACAATTTAAGAAAAAAGTAGCAAAATGATAAATTTTTTTGTCCCCTTGGGGTTGAACCTAGAACTTTACACATGCTAACTAAACACTCCACCACTGAGCTACTCCCCCAGGCTAATATTTCACTTTTAATAATAGATCAAACATAAAAGTTCAGTAAGAAAACGGTAGATTTGATTATATGAGAAATAGAAAAGAAGAAAAATATGTGAAAATTCCAGGGCGGTGGCTAATAAATAACCTGAGGTGTTTAGAGGAAGGCAAATGACCTCAAATAGCTTGGTATTGTCCGAGGATGAAGGTTTGGATAAATTATAGAATGACAGAAATGAGGCGAGGTGGTGATCTTCCGTCTCACGCCAAGGAGCTTAGACCATCCTACATATATGAAACACTTCTTCACCAAAGAGAGTAGTGACCTTTTGGAATAACAACAACAACAACAACAACAACCCCAAAGCAAATGCATCAGCAAGCCAAGAGCTCTTCCTCCCTGAGACTCCTTGGAAGACCCATTCTCTTCCCTTGACGAGCCGAGGAAGCCCCTGAAGGTAGAACCACTGGATTCAAGGTGTAGTGAAATCTTCTAAAACTGAATTGTGGCGCTGATTGCACACCACCATTAAATTCTACATCTTCTGCTATGTAAACTGCATTTAATAAAACTGCTAAATGACTTCATTGTACACTAGGAATAAGTCATAAAAATGTGACAGAAAAGACTACACCTCCTGAAGAAATAAACTATTACACCTAGGAAAAACTTGGCTATATAAAACATCTATAACTTATATGAATAACACTATAAAAAGTTTTTGAAATATAGAAAACAGAAATGAGTCACATTATTAGTGGGGGAAATTGAATGATATAAATGATAAAACCACTCCCACAATTTATGGATAATTTCTGACCTTGAACAAGCTTAAAAAGAACATGCAAACAGAGAAGTTTTGTTGAAGATGAAATAATCCTCCAAATTATTTTAGTTTATTTGAAAAAATGAAACATGCTAAGAAAAATCATAAAGAAGAGATAGACTAAAAACAAAACTCACCATACACTTGCCTAGTCATAAGGCCCTGGATTCCATCTCCAGCAAAATACACACACACACACACACACACAATATTAATTCAAAAAGTGCTAAAAATCTGCAATTCAGAGTAAATATATCATTTCACTTGTTCATTTGAGATAGTATCTCATTAAGTATTCCTGTCTGGCCTGGAACTAGTGATATAAACCTGGCTGGCTTCAAACTCACAGTGACTGCTTAATCCCAAGTCTGGGATCAAAGGCTCACGTCACAACACTAGACTAGCTTCTCTCTCTCTCTCTCTCTCTCTCTCTCTCTCTCTCTCTCTCTTTCTCTCTCTCTCTCTTTCCCTCCCTCCCTTCTTCCCTTCCTTCCTTCCTTTTTTTTTCATAATTTTCATATAGGGCCACAAAATATCCAGACAGACTTGAAGTGAATCTAAAGCTAACAAGAAGGAAAAGATCAAATATGAAGGGAAAAGGAAGCTGTCCAGTAAATGGTATCTAAAGTGACGGTTAGCAGCCTGAAGACTGGTAATGGCCTTCTCTCTCTGTTTTATAGGTTTTATAGACACCTAAATCTTGGTATTAAAATCCCATTTGACATACTGACAGTAGCTTCATTTTTTAAATCAGAAGTATAGATTAAACAATACCTTCCTAAAAATGAAACATATAGAAATGATATTGCTTTTTAAAGTTTTCTTTTTGCAAGTAGAAACAGTGTAAGATCTCCCACAAATACTTAAAAGTAAGTAAGTTTAAGAGCCACCACACTCCAGAGCTGGGAGAAGTAACTACATCCTTAACTGGCCTCTAGGGGGTAGCAGAGAGCTAGTTATGCTTGTCCTCTGCTAAAGAGCACAGACCTGTGGCTGCTGTACTTTCCAGGCTCAACTGTTCTCTTATGATTAATCCTGAGCAAAGCGGGTGGCTAGGATTAGCAAGGCTTGTGAGGTCATAAGTCAAATCAAAGCTAACACGTCTGAGTGAAGATTCAAATAATTGTTTTAATTTAACCTTACAGAGACAAATGTTTTAATCTAACAAGGCAACTAACCTCACTAGTGCGGGCTTGGTTAAAAACTCTGCACTAACATATGCTTATGAAAACTTGGCAACAGGCAGAATTTAGGCATTTCTGCTTCCGCTCCCAGAAATAGAAATTGTACATATAAAGAGTGACACCCATTACTTTGCCATAGTTTTGAACATTTGATATCTATTAAAAACAGTATTCCAGGAATTATTGAAGAAATGACTGATGATTAAAACTTGTTCTAACAAACCATAGATTTCTGAATTACTCTTGCGCTGTAAACAAAGGTTCTGGAGAATTCTTTGTGTGTGAGAAAGACATTATAGTCTACACAGACCCGTAGAGTCTCACAGGAGCAAATGCAAATGTTCTCTGAAGAAAGCTCCCTCTATCCTGGGGCTCAAGGAACTCAAAAGGGCATGAATTCATAGTTAAGAATTATAAAACTCAAAAGCAAATGTCATCTCGTGAGTGAGGGCTAGTACTTGTGAGAGACATTTATCAGAACCTCAAAAACAGAAGGTATGTAAAATATGAAGCACACACTATAAGTGTATGCAAATGTACTAATGCGTGTTTAAAGGTAATGTGGACACTGGAGAGACAACTCCATTAAGAGTTGTACAAGTGTGAGGGCCTGAGTTCAGATCCCCAGCACCCATGTAAAAACCAGACATGTTGTGTGTATGTTACCGGTGCTGAGGCACAGACAGGAGGATTTCCAGGCCACAGAGATGCAAAAGGGCAATGCCAGGGTCAGTGAGAGATCCTGTCTCAACCAGTTAAGCAGAGGACAACAAAAGCAGAACTCTTAACATCCTCCTCTGACCTCTGCATGGGCACACACACTCATGTTTATATACATACATACATACAAAATGTGTAGATAAAAATTAGAAAGAGTTAAAACAACTTTCAAGTATGTCTGTTCTTTTCTGGTGGAAATTTTTATACATCAACCAAAATAGTGAAAACAGTAGTTTGCTGTCCTCT